CTAGTAATTTACAACGAAAACGATCCGACGACATATTTATCTCTAGGAGCGGGTTTGGGGGGTGCAGGACTTATCTGCATCCCCTTATACGGGGGTTTTTCCAGTAAATCCGGATATTTCGGGTAGTAAAAAATTTGGAAGGCATATTATTTCCTTTCTGCATCCCTCTCTTGAGATTTCTGGATCAGTTATTGGTTATGTAATCAGGCATATGATCAAGAATATATTACCCTTTCAATGCATCCAGAAATACGTTATTATGTGACTTTATTCGGTTTAAGTTTTACTGCGAATTCAACAGCGAGTTTTCACAGCATTCGTCAATGTCGTCTCGATTGTGGGCGCCATCTTGAATCGTACAAATCTCGTTGGCCGTGAGACTTGTGATTAAACGCCTCATTTTCCAGTTTTTCGGAGTAAATTTAATTGTTTTTTAAATCTGATCCCGTGAATAATTCATAATTAATTATGTTTTTATTACGTTTTATTTTAAAAATTAATAAATTAAAAATAATTACCTTAAAAGAGTGAGCTTGTATGAAAACATTAAGAGATTAAATACTAAAACAGCACACTTTTTAATTAATATAAAATGTAGAAAAAATATTAGACTATATTTTTATCATTTTTTAATAAGAAAAATGTTATTTAAAGATTATTTTATGGATTTTTCGTGAAACATTTTCAAACACGTCTGGCATGAAAGCAAAATGTGAGCTTTAGGTTATTATTTACATTAAAAATATAAATTTTATAATTATTTTACAGTATGCAATCACTATTTTTCTAAAATTAATAAATAATCAAACTGATATCGAAGTAAAAAAGTTAGGTATATATTTTTACTGTTTTTTTTTATGGCAATTAAATATCAAAATACAGTCAAACCTCTGAACAGCGGATACTGATGGAAACATTAAAATGTGGCCGTTGTTTGGAGGTTATTTTGTATGCGTTTTTATTCATCGTTCTCAAAAAATGGCCGCCGTTTAGAAGTGGACGTTGTTAGGAAGTGGCCATTATTAGAGGTTCGACCATAATTGTAAAACTTGTTTTTAGAAAAACGTTCTGTTATATATATATATATATATATTCCCTTGTGGCTGAAGAAAAAAGATATCAACTCTGCCGGAAAAATCATTTATGATATATTGTAATCAATAATTCTCTTCGTGTTGCTGCCGATCTCTACGCGAAACTTCAAAATTTTCTCATAAAGATATATACTTTCTGTGAAAAATATGACTTTTCTACAATATTTTGATATATATATATTTCTATATTTTAAGTTTTATTCTACTAAGTTTTATTCTTCATACTACGCCCGAATAAAACTTTCTGATATATATATCAGAAAGTATGAAGAATAAAACTTAGTCAATTTACTTAGCGATGCGTCGCTAACAGTAGATTAAGTAGAACTGATAATAGGGGGGACGAATTAGAACGTGCAAACCTGCATTCACCCACGTACAGTACAATGAATTAAGAGCCGAATGGGGAGGGCCAAATTAGAACGTGCAAATCTACACTCACTCATGTACTGTGAATAAAGAATAAACCCTTAGATTTTTAAATGTTGTATGAGTGTATTTGTCTCATTTAAATCTTTTTCTGATTTTTATTATTTTATTTTTCATCTAGAAAGGTAAGGGGCCCAGAGCCCTGTTTCTCTGGTTATGCTTCGTACTTGGTCGTGCAGAAACTTCACTTAAATTGTTCCAAATTTCAATTGTTATATTGATAGTTTTTAAAATCAAATTTATTTTGATAAAAATTTTATAGAAAAATATATATAAACACGAATTTTTCTATATAAAATTCTTGTTAAATATAGCGTCACTTTACTATCATGTTGATGGTAACAGCATTAGAGTAACTTATACCTTAATGAAGCAAACCTTAAGCTAAAATTACCAAATTAAAATTAGGGACGAAAAGGCAAAAAAATTCTTGTAATGAGAATTTATAAACAACATTTAAAAGAATATTTTATCAGGAAAGAATCAAAATAAACTGGATTTAATAGTTTTATTTCATATAATAGCCAACAGATGGCGGATATGGTACTACAGTTATCATTATTGGCTCATTTTTTAAAAATTCGAATTTAAATTTGAATTCTTCAGAACCGATTTTTGTAAGCTGAAAACTTCCAGTACACCAATAAGCTCGCTAAATTTAAATTTACTCGTATAGGCAAAAATTTGGTGAAGTCCATTAATTAACGTATGCAGTTTGAGAGGGGTGGAGGCATTGTGGATTTTTAGTAGCATACGAGCCTATACTAGTTATATGAATAAACTATCAGTTAGAATACATTTGTAGAACTTTTTAGTCATTTATTCAATGTCAGGAAAGTTACAAACTATTACACGTAACTAAAAGGAGGGGTCAAAAGTGAATCAAAAACTGTACACGTAATTAATGTAAGGCTCTTTCCATAGCTGTAGTATTATTCTATTATCCTCAATAATCAATAGCGTATCCAGAAGTTTTTGGAGGAGTGAAAAACGGAAACGATATGCCTTAATTTTTACTGATAACCCTCAGAAGAGGGTGCAGTGGTGCCCTGCACACCCCCCTAAATCTATCTGTCAGTAATTCATACTCTTTACCTCAATCTAAGATATCGAATTACCCAATTTTAGAGGTCAAATAAGCTTTAATGAACGGTGACACTTAATCAAAATGAATTTTAATTAGGTGTCACTATGTAAATACACGTGTAAATTTAGCTCTATTTTACTTCTTTCTTTTTATCATTCACCGCATCTTTATTATTTTCCAGCAGCCAAAAATATATATAAATTTTTTTTTACATTTTTCTTTTTTAGTGCGCTATCTCACGTCTTTATATCTGTTGTTTCTGTCGAAGGATAGTAAGAAAGATAAAAGAGATCCATTTTAAAAATTTCATGAGTTTAGAGAAGATTTTATTATAAATAAATAAAACATATGTTTATAATAGGATCTTGTGTAAACTCAAAGAAAACTTTTAAGATAATTCCTTTATAATTTATGCTTTATTCTGATACTCGTTAATTACTTCTATTTTAAAAAGCTGACAACGTTGTTGCTAGACTTTCCCGATATTTTTAATTATTTTTTATCCCTAATAATTACTTTCATTACCTTTATAAGTCTCCAGATTGGTTCGAGAGATATTAAGGGGATGGGGATCATATCTAACCAACCAATGGTCCGATTTTTCCAGAAAATTTCTATAAAAATTTTATCCTAATACACAAACCTCCCTGCAAAATTTCAGAAATTTTCAACAAAAAGGCACAGGAGTTATTAAGCTTTAAAGTAGATGGGAAAAAAATCGAGCTTCTTCCGCACACTATCATCCATAAATACAGAAAAAACTCTTTATTTTTTATTTTTTTGAATTTCTCGACGTTTCAAGATCATCTGAGTCCAAAAATGTAATAATCTTCGGGGGGTCATTTTTTGATCGATCGCTCAACTTTTCCTCTATTATATATATAATAGCCGGGAAAGTAAAATGCCCTTTAAGAATGTCCTTCAAATTCTCTTATTCAATTAAAGAATTCGTTTAAATTTATTATAAAACAAGCATAAAAACTTTCAAAGTTCCTTTACGATTCCAGATTAAAAGTTATACGGTGGCCCAAAAGTCAGTTAACCATTATAAAGGACTAAATAGCTGTACAGAATTTACAAAATTGCTCAAAAATGAGGCCCTTCAAATTATAACGCTTTGACACACTTTCACAAATCGTCGTCGACTTTCCTGGGGGAAAAAAGAAAAAATTGCTAAATTGCTTGTAAAAAATCAGGGTTAACTGACTTCTGGGGCAGAGTATTTAAGAACAAAACTTCTCAGAATCTCAATTTCCTATTTCCTACAGCTAATCGGAACAGAACATTTTAAGCACTTAAAGTGTTACTGGATAGAAAATTCTTCTATCGAAACATCTACTTTATCTTTTCCTGTCATTTATTATATTGCAGTTTCCTTTATGTCTTTCCATGTTACGCGTAACTCTTCCTTGTCGTTTTCTTCATAATGTACAGTAAATAACGTAAGAAAGAAAACTATTTCGAATCGATAATAATTTTTGTTATTGGTAATTTATGCTGTTTACAAAATAANGGTAAATAATGCAGATTCTGTGCCTTTATTTTTTGTGTAAGCAAATTGAAATTCTGCTTCCAACTCATAAGTTTTAATCCACTGTTGAAACTTTATTGCCAGTATCGACGTAAAACATTTTCTGAGTGTAGATAACAGGGCTATTGGTCTATAATTTTCTGGAGACATTTGGTCTCCCTTTTTGTAGATCATCGTTATTATTATTGAATTCCATGATTCAGGATAGGATAATGTTTTATACATTGTATTAAATAATTTCAGTAGTTTTATTTTGGAGTCTGTTGACAGGATTTTTAAGAATTTAGTTGGTATGTTATCGTCTCCTGGAGTAGTATTGTTCTTTATTTTTTGAATAACTTCTTCCAGTTCGTTCATAGTCATGTCATCATTTAAATACTCATCACAATAGAAATTTTTACCTGTTGGAATTTGTATATTTTTTATGGTGAACTTTTGGTAGAATTTTTTCCAAGTTTCAAAACTTATTCCAATGTTACTCCTTCCTAAATTATCTTTTGTTCGAAATTTTTTGATAGTATTCCAGAATACTTTGCTATTATTAGTGTTGTTAATCAAATTTAATTCGATTCTACGAAGGTAGTTTTTCTTTTTAGTTTTAATTAAGTTATTATAAGTTCGTTTGGCATTTTTATAATTCGTAAAATTTTCATGATTAGGATTTTGTCTGTATATTTTTAATTTTTGTTGCTTACGGAGTTTTTCTTTGTAACAACTACCATCATACCAGATTTTTATATTTTTATTTTGCATATATTTTTTTACTTATTATTATGTAATCATATTTGTAAATTTGTAAAATTGTTTGGAGGAAAAATACAAATCAGGAAGCTAACTTCTGTGTTGTTCACTTAAAAAGTTCTTCAGTAGGTTAAGTTACTAAGAGTTTAAGCGATTTTTAAATAGGTAACACGTAAGTTTCATATTGCTACGTTACGTTTTAAATCGGAACAATGCTCAATCATCGATTTTTACAGTTAGATATGTTGCGCTTAGCTCTGCTGATCGGTGTTTTACTACTAGCAAGTGCAGAAGATAAGGAAAAGGAAGATGAATCTCTACTAAAACGTCTAGTGTCTCGACTTCCTAACACTGCCAATTTATCAAAATTGGTGGAAAAGGTGGGTGATAGTCTAAGAGAGGCTGTTAATAAACTACCAAAGAATAATTCCCTAATGAAGCTAGCAGATAGAGTAGACGGAGGGGTAAAGAAGGTTGTAGATACAATAAAATCTCCTGAATCTTCGGACACACTACACTCTTTAGGTGAAAGAGTGAGAACAGGATTGAAGACCCTAACAACTCTTCTACCAGCTCCGAAATCTGACGATGATGATAAAAAGAAAAAACCTTTTGCTTTAGACATAAATATACCGTAATTATAACCTCATATTTTAATTAATATATATTTAAATATTCGTTTATTTAACTGTACTTAATTTACAGACACATTTTTTCCTTANTTTATGTATATAAAAAATAAATAGATTTTATAATTTTAAATTAAAATCAACAGAAAGTTTTTTTACTGCTTTCAATTTTTATTTGAAAATATAAATTTCTTAACCCACTGCTTCGAAAATAATCGCTTCACGTAGCGAGTTTTTCAGGACACTTTTTAAGGAAAAACAGAAAAAAAGTACATAAAAAACTTAAGAAATAAACTAAATTCGAATCATTAAGTAAATGCTCCGAAAATATAGAGTTAAAAAAAATAAAATAAATAAATAAAACACGTTATCTCCCGAAACCAACCTGACCCTAACTTAGTTTTTTTTTATCTAACATTTTCGACCTCAACCTTAACCTTACGATCTCTGAAATAAATTTTATCCTCATTCCTGAACTAGATAATGCATACGAATTAATTTACTTGTGTAAATATTTTAAATATACAAAAAAAAATTGATTTTCTAACAACAGAATTACATGAAAAATATATCTTCTATCGCACTTGACAATGAACGGAAAGGGATTTCTTTTTTAAAAGTTTTATCACGTTAAAGGATATTTTCCTGGTGCGAAAATATACTTCAAATAACTGAAATAGGATGTCGATTTTAAGGAAAAACTTTTGCACGAGAGGTTAATTAGATTCTTAAGGAAATGTGTCATCATTGTGATACGATTCCTATCCAATCCTCCTCTTAATTTCGTTTAACTTCGTTATTAAAACCCCCATTTATCTGCTGATTATCGACATTAAATGATGTCATACACGAAAAGATCGATTGTAATTTAACTTAAACGTCGATACATAATGTTATAATCGAACTGTAGATAATGTATTCAATATAGGACCGTAGATAATTAATAATTAACATAACAAAAACACCATTAAGATACTATAAAGTGTTATATTATACAGTTCTTTATCGTGTATTTAAAATTAGATTATTAAAAATGAGGTTATATTTGTTTATACGAAACTTACTTGGCTCGAGTTGAATATACTCTTTTAATTGTTTTTTGTATACGGGCGTTTAATGGTTAACACCTTCACTTTTTTATTCTCATTTTATTTATTTTTAGAAAATTCTGCTTAAAAACACCATCAAAAAACCATCAGGAAAGTTAGATTTCTGCTTGGTTAACTTAGAAAAAATTCTGTATAACATGGCTTTAGTGTTTTAATATTACACAGCTTTAATATTTAGTAACTATTATATATTTAAATTTAAATAATAATAATATTTTGATACAAACTATGTAAAAAAATAATAAAATATGATCCAATAAAAACGCTTGAAAATTAATAATTTTATGTGTATTATTTTTTCAAAATGAGTGTAAACAGTCAAATATTTTACTCACAAACATCTTCAAAATTAAATAAAACACAACTGCATCTGTAAAATTTATAAACATCCTACAGAATGTTAAAGAAAATTTTATCTTCATGTTTTTTTAGGAGACGTGTGGGATCTTATTCGTGTCTCTAGTTCTGTATATAAATATAAAATATACATTTATATTTATATGCAGGACCTGCACACACAAATAAGACCCCCACCCTTCTAAAGATACACAATACAGCTGCATTATATTTATTTTAATACATATAGCCCTATGTAGAATTGGAATTATAAATTGAGTTTCACCTCTCTCCTACAGCAATAAAAATATGTGAACAAAATTAATACAACAAATAAAAACTGATTTTTTTACTACTTATAATGTAAATTTTAAGTTATTTTATGTATAGTTGAACCTCAATGACGGACACTCTAAATAGCGGCCATTTTTAAATGTGGCTATTATTTAGAGGTTTGACTGTATATGTTACTTTTGCATTCNTTGCTTGCTATATTCACTCTTATTATTTAGTAATGAAAGTATATTGTTTATTTGCTAAATATTCTAAATAAATGCTTACTTTTTAATATTTTCTTTATAATATTAATAATTTTCTCATACGATAATAAGTATTCTCGATTCTATAGAGCAATGTGTTCCATAAATCAGGAACCGTAAGAGTTACGTTAATCTTCGTTTAATTTTTTTTACAGATAAAACAGCGTTAAGTAAGGAGGAACCTATTCAAGTTACTTTAAAGATGAGAACCCAAAGTCAGCAAGAAGTTGCTGAAAGAGTTTAACAGGCTGCATCCAGATCGCTGTATTTGATCGATGGGAAGTCTGAATGCAGCGTCTGAATGTGCCCTTTTGACTGTGAGTCACCACCATTAAAATACCTTGAATTGGTTTTTCCTTGCCCAACTCCACGCTTTAACCATAAAAGAATTAACATAAAATTAACACAACTATGGTTCCAGACTTATCCATTCTGCAAGCCTACACGTACAAACTTCCAAATAACATAGTATTATATATACTTTACGCTTCCAATTGAAGTACTGTACTGTACAGTACAGTACATACATTTCCTATACATTAATTTAAAGATAAATATTATACTTCATTCTATTTTAATTACATCTTAAAACAAGAGATCCTCCCTTTTCTATTCAAATTATTAATACACAAAACGGCCCATAAGTTAGTTAACCGTATTTTTTCAATTAAGTCAACAGTTTATTACTTATTAATCTAAAAAAATATGCAAAAAATACTCGAATAAAACAGAAAAATTAATCCTCACAGTGGTTACCTGACTTTTGAACCACCCCGTAATTATCAAGTATTTAAAATGTCTAAAAGAATTTTTTTAAATTTAGGTTGGCCATATCCGTGTTACGTCCACTGTTAGATTTAAATATCAGAAGAAAGAAAAAACAAGAGGAAGCCAAAGAAAGGAAAGACGACATCGAGAAAGAGGAGGATGTCAAGAAGGACAAGAAGGATGTTTAATAAGAAAATAAAAATCCTGTAATCATCATTATCATCCGAAAGAAACAGGGATTTTTTTACTATTATTTGATAGATACGATCAGTTAAAAGGCACGAATATTACTGCAAAAATCTTAATCTCGTAGAACGAATTAGACAGATTGTAGCTATTTTTTTATTTTTTTATTTATAGATTTTTATATTATTGTAACCAGCATCAAGTGTTGATAAATAAATAAATAAATATATATATATATATAATTTGCTATATTTACGGTAAATGATGTAAATAAACAGAAATCGATTATTTGCACTTAAACATGTTTCTTTTGTTTTCTCTTATTTCTCGAGAAACATTTACACAGATTATTTTTAAGAATATTTATATGATAAAAACAGCAGAAATTTTCCTTGATTTTTATCAAATGTAAGGAAATTTATCGTTCTTCACAATCTAAATTTTACCAATTACATTTTATAAGATTTTCCGGTCGTATAAACATGTTTAAAATTAATTTTATCTTAATGAGAGTTACGTAGATCATAAATATAATTAAGTTTAATTATTTTCTAATGGTTATAAAAATATTTAATTGATCAAAGTAAATCATGAAATTATTTCGTCAAAGATAAACGGACAGACATAAAGACGGATGAGATATTAAGATATGATTTTAACATGTTTGGAATTTATTTATTTATTCATTTCACTTCATAAGCTAATATTCTCCTTTAAAAAATACAACTACATTAAAACCTCGATGTAACGCCCTCCTATATAGCGCCAGAATAGAGAATTCTTTATAATAAATTCTTAAATGTGTAATTTTTCATTGCAAACATCAAGTTAAACTCATACATTGCGTGTAAACCTCATTACTAATCATAATTCTTAGAGCCTTATGCCACAAAGGACCTCGCTCCATCTTCAAAAATAGTATTAATATGTATGTTCCAGTGTTATTTAATGTATAATATAGTGCCTCCTGTATGCTATAGCTTATGGCTACGTACTTAAATCCAGCTTTGGACAGACATAAAGACGGATTATAAAGATAATATATATAAGAGTAACTCGTTCTCATTTTCATTAATGATATATTTATATATAGTATCAAAATACAATTAGTAATATTCTCATTAAACTTAATTCAACTTCCTGTACTTAACTGTACAATCATGATTCAATATACGTTGAAATTCTATGATTCATTACGCGTAAGACAATATATATATATATAGATATGTAGTCTACCTCCCTTGGTTTGGTTTGATGAGAAAGTTCTCCCCCCCTAACAGATCTCTCACGTGCTGTAGCACGTGAGAGATCTGTCAAGGAGAGAGGACTTCCTGTGAGAAATTGACTCTAATTAAGTGTTAAAAACATAAAAAAAACCCAAAAAATTGCACGTGGTCAGACAGTTGGTCAGGTGCGAACCCATGACTAGTGTTTTATCCACTTGGCTGTCTTCCTCTTTTCTTGCTTAAGTAATTTAAATTATTATTCAATTTTTTATATTAATTGTGACATTTATACATATCTTTTCTAAATATAAGTGTGTTTAGTATATTAAAGAAGCATAAATTTCGTGAAATTTTAACTATTTTTTCGTGTAAACATAATTGCCATAGTAAGAACTAGTCAGCAACTAAGTGTTGACTACCGAATGAAACCTTGGAAACTATAATATAAATTTTAATTTTCAAGGATATAATTTAAATATGTATCAACTTAAAATAAGTAAAAAAACATATATTTCTGCGTACTTTTATTATCTAAATTCAGAATTTGGTCAAGGTACTGTACAACAGACAGAGAAGGCCTTCGTAAAGAACCAAGTCTGTGTGCTGGATGGGATTATGGTTTAGAAATCCTTGCTTAGAGAATATTTACGAATTATTATAATGAATTTTTTAAATTACTGCTAAATTTTGAAAATATATAAAATCAGTTCTTTAAATAGCTTAATTTATGTAAATAAATTTTATAAACTTTAATCATTTAAAACATCCAAGTCATTTTATCATATAAATTAATATTTTAAAATTTTATGGTAGTCTGTAGTGTCATATATAGGGCCTAATTTACTCATAAGTTAAAGGAGCTGCAGTTTATGGCCTCGCTTTTATTTAGGGTGGATGAGGAAGGGTCTTATATACTACAGTTTAGCCTAAATCCGATCCTGCTCACATAGGTTAATATATACTTAAATGATTTTTTTAATAAATTTTACCATTAAATTAACAATAAAAGAAATCATAAAATTAACTTACACCTCCTTCAAGGCTTAAAGGAATCGCTTAATGGTCGAGCAAACTTAAGTTTAATTAACCTTAGAGAATTTATATAAAATTTAAGCTCACAAAAGTCGATTTTACGCTTCAATTGGATCATAATAAATACAGTTTAAAATTGTTTCGACGTAAATGAAGACGTAAAATAAACTAATTTAATTAAACTTCAACCCAGTTCGACACAATATCGACGTCATAAACAGCGCGAGGCTATTTTCTATACAAAAAAAAAAACGTTTTTTATATATGTATTTATTGATGTATTTTAAGATATAATAATTACAATATTTTAGCTGCAGGCCTCAATTAATTATTAGAATAAAAAAATATTGTAGATATAATATGAATTAACCGCTTAAAAAATTCCTAAGAACACGGTGTCTCAAATATTCTATAGAAAAATCGTGTTGCAATTATGATTTTTATCAATCACATGATGCTTCTTAGTAACGTTGAACATGTCCTTCAGGTATAATTTCCTCTTCCAAGGGGGGTTACAAACAAATAAAAGTGTTTTACTTGTCGCATTGGGGTGCAGTTTTCTTTCTTGACGTAAAGTATAACAATCGACAAACGTCCTTGGAGTATTGAAGACAGTCAAACACACTTGCCTGAAGCTTTATAGTATTACGTCGTACTTTCTACAATACGTATTCTGGTAAGTTTCCTGTATTTTATATAGAATATTTGCTTTACAACTTTATACAATAGGAAAACTTACGAGAAATACAAAGATTTTATTGTTGTCTATCAGTAAAATGCTCGCTCGTTCATCCACACTTAAATTTTACACACGTTTACACATAAAAAAGCCTTTCCTAGATAAAAATGTTGGCAGTTTTAAATGTAAAAACTTTATAAAAATTTTTTAAGTTTTGTATTTTATTTTATTTTTTTAATATAGAAAAAAATGAAGTTGTTGCTCCTGTTAATGTTTTTGGCAATTGCTCTTCCTTCTTTCTGCAAACCTGTTGAAGAAGAAGCGACGGAGATCGAGTCGAAGAAAACAAATGATCAAAAAGTTGATGCAGTTGAAGATGATGATGATGCTTTCGATAAAGATGATATACCAGACCACACTGTTGTAGAGAAACGTGTTGTTGTAAACCAAAGACCTTTCGATCTTCACATTGACATACCGTGAGTCAATTGAGATATTTTCTTCTTTATAAAATGGTTGACAGCATTTTAAAAACACTGTTTAATTTTCTTCTAGACCATTTTTTGATCTCAAATTGTTAACAGGGAGAGACGGACATAGGTAAGGACACATTATATTTAGTTAAATAATTAAGTTTTAATGAATATTTAATAAAAATTTTGTCAACTTTCCAGTCTCGGAATTGGCGTTTTTCCAGGTTTTAAACCCGTAACAATCATTAAAGAGAAAGAAAAGAATTAATTATAAATTAAACCAAAATAAAATATGGATCTCTTGCTTGTTTTTATGTATTAAAATTATATTAGTTTTTAATAAAGTTTTATTGTAATAAAACCAGATGTATTTGTTGAACTCATAAAAGTAGATTTAGCTATAAATGCTTCTATAAGTAAAAGCATTTATAGCTAAATCTACTTTTAAAATTTTTTAAATTGAATCTTCCTATAGAATCTTTAAACCGTTCTATAGAATCCTTAAATCCTGTAAAATATTTTATTCTATAGAATCATTAAATTTTATGGTATAGAATATCTGAATCTTCCTATAGAATTGCAGCTGTAGAACGATCGCAATAGTTATATTAAACTATTATGATCATTCTACAACTACAATCTATAGGAAAATTCTAGTACAGTATTATGTTTAAAAAATTGAAATTTATTCAATGGCGTAGGCGAAATAAATATTAAGATTTTCGTTTTCACCCAAAACATTACAAGTATTCAATTTTTTTCCTTAGTTCCAGATTAAAGAAAAAAATATATTCTATTGATACTTAGTAATAATTCAATGTGAAGAGAATATTCGCCATAAATTCTACAATATGCAAATAATCCATAATTTCGTTTTTCGGCATTGGATCATTATGAAAATCGCTAATTTTAATTATGGAAAATTAAACTGATTGTATAAGTATACAGAAACATATTTATACGCATGGATAATGGATGTATCTAGGTGGCAAGCTGCCAAGTAATCCAGCCAATGACATCGTTCGTTTCGTATGAAACGGACTCTGTAATTGGCTTGCTTAACTGCGTGCCAGCATACGCACCCGTCATCTGAGCGCCAATTCAAACCGTGTACAAGGTGTAGTCTTACAAATATTACCTTCTCCATTAAAATAGAGAAATTTAATAAATTTCTTAAAATAAATCATTTCGTAAATAATTTAAAACAAAAAAAATCTCTAGAAATTGCGAAATTTATTTGAATAATACATATTTATCATAAAAATCTTAGTGGCGGCTTGATAGGATATGCCACGCAACACACGGGCAATCTGCCAAGAAGGGGAAAACTTTATATATGAAAGTGGTTCTATTTAGAGTTAGACACGTGAAAAAATCCGGAAAACTCCACGTGGTCAGGCGCCACCCGCCACCAACTACCAGTCAGTGTTCAGTGGTTTTATCCACTCAGCCACTGGTGTACTCTTCTTAGTAGTGAATTAATAGAACTTTTTATTAGCAAAAATTGAATTAACGGCTACTAAATTGCCTAACTTCACATCTATGACGCCATTTTTATTTTAGTCTAGTGAATAGTGATGAATATAAGTTGCTGGCGCGTGATAGATTACTTCCTACGAAATAGGACATCACGTGATTGTTCTATGAAAAATTCATAAATTTCTTTATGATTCAAACAAACAAACGCAAAAATAAATAAACATTAAATATTCTATTTATTTTGATACAACGCATAGAACTTTTGATCACGTCATAGGCTTATTACAAAATGGCGCTCGTTAACAGACCAATAAAAAGAATTTTTACTATTTAAAAATTTTTTTAAATATCTTAGTTTTCCTTAAATTATTGTTACGACTTTGACCTTCACAAATTATTTGATGATTCATTCAATTTGAGAGCCGTTAAAACAAGTTAAACTGCTAAAACTTGAGGAAAGTAGACTTAAAAATGAAGACAAACAATAAATATTTTCTTTTTTTTTAAATTTAGATTTCAATCTCCAATTAATTACGTTGCTGTCAGCCTTCTAATTCATTATCTTTTGCATAAATCTTTCGATTTTCTTGACGTCACGTCTTCTATTTAAGCTCTCTCTCCTTAATCTTTCCTCCTTTATTAACAAAGCTGCACTTAATATAAGGTAAGATTTATGGCTAATAAATTGCGATATTAAGCATTATTTTTCGCTAAAAGAAGAGAAATTAATAGCCATTTTCCTCTTGTAGAATATAAGAATTTTATACGAAAATGAAGTGGACAGCTTTAATTCTTATCTGTTTCTTGCTCCAATTTGCATCTTCTCAAGATCCTTTCAATTTAAAAATCGACATACCGTAAGTTAATTTGTAATTAAAAAATTTTTTTATTAAATTATTATTAATTTTTAGTAATAATTTCTTTAAATTTTATAGGGAAATTTTTTCGTATACTCATAGCAAAACCGGAAAGAGTAACAAGTAAGTTAATCATTTCGAAAATATCCTACACCCATTTAATTATAATTAACAAATTTTTAAATTATTTTAGATTAAATGTCGACGTATTGAAACGATTCGTTAATGTTGGAGTTCGAAATCGCTAGCATTTTTTTAAAATATTTTTTTTTGGCACATTTCCTCAATTCTGTAAAAGTTTTGTTTTAATCTTGCTAAAAAAACAAGTTATTTTTGTATTTTAATAAATGTTTTCTTTTAAACTCGTTATTTGCTTTTTGATTATTTTAACTACATTATGATATTAAATATAGTAAATTTAACATTACATAGGGTGGTCTAAAAGTCAGTTAGCCGCTGTAAAAACTCTAGATTCAAACGCTTAATTTACTTACAAAATGTATTTTTTGCTCAACATGCTCACAAATTGCTGAATTGTCCGAAGAAAAAATACGGTTGAGTTTTTGACCATCCCATACCATAAAAAATTGTGTTTTCCTCATAACATAAAAATAATATTTTTTATTACTTCCAAAATAAGAATAATCATAGAAAAGCGCGTTATATATATATATATATATAGGCGATTAAAAATAATAGAATACAGGATGGCTCAAAAGTCTGTTAACCGTTGTAAACGATAAATTCAAATAATTACTTAAACAAGAAGGATCTCGTTTCGTAACATACTCAGGAAATGCTGAATTGCTTCAAATAAATTCAGTTAACCGAGTTTTGGGCCACCCCATAATTCGGCGATGTTAATTGAATTTTCTCGTAATTTAGGATAGTATCTTTTGTTAATTAAATTGTTTTATTACTTCCAAAATAAAAACTGTAGACTCATTTCTTTTTTATTAAACTATTCAGAGATAGTTTCATGTTAAAAATAACTTGATAGGACTTTAATAGTCCTACGGTTGGTTACATACAATTAATGCAGCGATGACGATCGAATCTGAAAAACAAGACAGTCTCAATCTTATTTTATCTGTTTTTCTTTCGAATTCCATTTTCTACTTTAATTCTCTCTAATAATTTCCTTATTCTTATTTCCTTATATGCTAACAACTTATTATTCTTATTTGTGCAGATTTAACAATGTTCGAGGTACATAATTTTTTTTAATTATGACTTGTACACAGAAATTACTATAATTCAGCTATTAATTGGCCTAAAAAATCATTATCTCTTGTAAATTTTTGAAAATTTTCCGTATTAATTTGATTAAAATTTATATATTTCGTAACTGTATTTACTTGTATAAATGTAAATGTATTTTTAAAATGTTTACGGGACACCGTTGTGTTTAAGATACATCTGAAGCTTGTATAATTCTATAATCTGTCTACGAAAAGAATCGACTTGAAAGCAATGTCACGCGTGATGTCGCTTCATTTACACCAATCAACACATTCCTTAATGACGACGGGCAATATATAAATTTTATTTTATTTTCTCTTACTAGACGGCAGAACTTTTCCGTTAATTGTGTTAATTTTTTATAGTATGCATTTAGCAATTACTATAGTGGTATGGTACTCCAATACAAGAACGTGAAGCATCCATAACACTGTTTATAATGGCGGTGACATATTTAATAAATGAGGAAGAAACAGGAAGTAACTTGCCACAACTAAGCGATCAATGGCTGATGCTCATTGGTTAACATCCAAGTTGATTCTTTCCATAGACAAAACAGTCACACAAGTGTACTGAAAGATCAATAAAGCTAATACAATTGCTCGGCGAAATGGATAAAACTACTGAACACGGGTTCGCTCCTCGCCAACGAGCTGGCCACGTGGAGTTTTCCGGGTTTCTTTACGTGTCTAACACCTAAATAGGGGTTAATTTCTCATAGAAAACACTCCCGGGAAGTAACGCCCGTCGTCAAATTTCACACGTGTTGCATTACCGTATCCCATCAAACCAAATCAATAAACCTCTTAATAACGGCCACTAACGGAAACATAAAAAATGGCTATTCTTTGGAGGTTATTTTGTACGCATTTTATAAACAAGTTCCTGAAAAAATGACCTCCGTTTAGAGGTGGCCGTTGTTAGAGGTTTCACCTTATTATTATAAAATTCGACTTATTCACGCTCACTGGCAAACTTTTTATTAAACTTTGAGTAAATGTTAAAATAATAATTCTAAAAGTATCATTGGAAGCTTCATCATTGAAAATTTTCCTTGTATCCTTAGAGATTGTTAAACTTTCTGAGTCATTATGTTAAAATATAAGATAATCCGTATTAGTGGTCGTCAACCTGGCCTTCACGACGCTCCAGAGTGTCGCAACAAAGCTTTTAGAGTGTCACAAGATTCTCAGAAACCTAATTTATTTATTGAAACTTTAAATTATTGGTTATCAGGTGTATCACGTGTGCCAAAATAAGCCAGTTAGAGCAAAGCTTCGAAACAAGTTTCAAAACTCTGATATATATATATATATGTATTAACAGTATTTTGAAATCTGCATTACAAGTCATTACACCTGTATTTATATTTTCCCTTCTTTTTAATATTAAATATGTTTATAATACATGAAAGATTGCAAGGAAATTATTTATCTCTTAATTAAAATGGAGAAAATCAACTGCGCTTCACTCAAAATATTAAGAAATTCATACTCGGATTTTAAATGTAGTATTGATAGAATAAGGCAACTCAAGGGCGATCTGTTAAGGGAGGCCTTTTTTATGGGATACTTACTGATTTCTACTTTGGCGTCAGAAACGTGATGAAAATGCAGAAAACTCCACGTGGCCAGCCCATTTATCAGGCGCGCATCCGCGACCAACTACCAGTGAAATTAAGAATTTCATAATACAGTACTTAATGTACTTAATGTAATACATTAATGTAATATACCTCATTACATTAATATAATGAGGTATATTAATGTAAATTAAATATACCTCATTAGAGGCATTATTAAATTGTATAATGTTGGCGTGATTCCTGAAACACATTAATGTTTTGCTGTTTAAATACCGTAAATAAAATACGGTAAGTAGCTATCAAGTGCAGAATGATTCATTTTGGGACTGAACACTTTACTTTGCTCAATACCTCATGATTGCGCAACCACATTAAATAATAGATTATTTTATGACATTTTATGTTTTACATTATGTTTTGTTCGTGTTTCATAATCATTTTTACATTTTATATGAAGAAATTCCACATAATAAGTGTTCGATCCCGAGTGAATGACCCTATACAAGGAGGCCGGACGGCCGAGGAGATTCAGGCATTAGTCTATTGCTCTGGAGAATCCGGGATCGAATCTGGGCAAGCAATTTTCCGGGAAGTTTTCATGTTTGGCTTCGTTTCTCAGACTCGGTTGCCTGCATGTGAGCCTAATCGAACTAACGACGAGTATGAAAAAAGGCCTTCTTAAAATCCACAGCGTGTAAAAAACCAAAAATAAGAGGGGGAAAGGTGCAATAATTACTTTTACTGCTTTTATTTATGTTTTATTTTTTCAATTATTTCAGTTAATAATTTAGATGTTTCTAACCTGGTCAGTATCGTCCTTCGAGGGGGATCGATTGATTTATCTGGGAATCGATAAATTACTAAGGAATCGTTTGAGGGATCAATAGTGTATAAAGTAAAATACCATCTTGTATTTTATATTTAATGTAAAACATTATTAATTCCTGTTTGTAAATTATTCTTTGTATCGACTGGAAAAAAAAAGCTGAGAATCGCTGATTTAGATGGCAGATGCTCTCATTTCAAGTAAGATAATATTTAGATATCTAAATGTTAATTTTATAAATATCACCATCACATTTTCGCTATAATTCAAATATGTAAGCAATTTTTATTTATTAATACGTCGTTTTTATGGTGTATACTTTTTAAAATCTTTCCCCTGCAATATATATCATTTAAATCGATTAAATAGGTCTTAAATCGTTAAATTTTTAATGCTACAAATGATCGATTAAATTACTTTCTTGATTTATCAACGGGGGAGCTGACGCAATTCTTTCGTGGCGATTCTAACAGCAGCGCCCTCTTATTCTACTTAAGAAAAAACGTAAATTTACCAATTTTTTTTTAATATTAAAACACTCCAAAACTTTTATGATTATAATTATAAATTAAACAAAAATCTTTTTCATTTAAATTAAATAATTCTAAATACAAAACAAAATCAATTTTCGTTTAATTAGACTGACATTTAAATACGCCAGTAACTTATAATTAAATTTATATTTTAAAAAATCAAAAAATATTGATTTTACTTTCCAATCGAAGGTGAGAATGTATCCAAAAACATTCTCACGCGACTCTTTCATNTATCATATAAATTAATATTTTAAAATTTTATGGTAGTCTGTAGTGTCATATATAGGGCCTAATTTACTCATAAGTTAAAGGAGCTGCAGTTTATGGCCTCGCTTTTATTTAGGGTGGATGAGGAAGGGTCTTATATACTACAGTTTAGCCTAAATCCGATCCTGCTCACATAGGTTAATATATACTTAAATGATTTTTTAATAAATTTTACCATTAAATTAACAATAAAAGAAATCATAAAATTAACTTACACCTCCTTCAAGGCTTAAAGGAATCGCTTAATGGTCGAGCAAACTTAAGTTTAATTAACCTTAGAGAATTTATATAAAATTTAAGCTCACAAAAGTCGATTTTACGCTTCAATTGGATCATAATAAATACAGTTTAAAATTGTTTCGACGTAAATGAAGACGTAAAATAAACTAATTTAATTAAACTTCAACCCAGTTCGACACAATATCGACGTCATAAACAGCGCGAGGCTATTTTCTATACAAAAAAAAACGTTTTTTATATATGTATTTATTGATGTATTTTAAGATATAATAATTACAATATTTTAGCTGCAGGCCTCAATTAATTATTAGAATAAAAAAATATTGTAGATATAATATGAATTAACCGCTTAAAAAATTCCTAAGAACACGGTGTCTCACAAATTCTATAGAAAAATCGTGTTGCAATTATGATTTTTATCAATCACATGATGCTTCTTAGTAACGTTGAACATGTCCTTCAGGTATAATTTCCTCTTCCAAGGGGGGTTACAAACAAATAAAAGTGTTTTACTTGTCGCATTGGGGTGCAGTTTTCTTTCTTGACGTAAAGTATAACAATCGACAAACGTCCTTGGAGTATTGAAGACAGTCAAACACACTTGCCTGAAGCTTTATAGTATTACGTCGTACTTTCTACAATACGTATTCTGGTAAGTTTCCTGTATTTTATATAGAATATTTGCTTTACAACTTTATACAATAGGAAAACTTACGAGAAATACAAAGATTTTATTGTTGTCTATCAGTAAAATGCTCGCTCGTTCATCCACACTTAAATTTTACACACGTTTACATATAAAAAAGTCTTTCCTAGATAAAAATGTTGGCAGTTTTAAATGTAAAAACTTTATAAAAATTTTTTAAGTTTTGTATTTTATTTTATTTTTTTAATATAGAAAAAAATGAAGTTGTTGCTCCTGTTAATGTTTTTGGCAATTGCTCTTCCTTCTTTCTGCAAA